GATGTGATAAGTTTTTCCGAAATTATGTTCTTAAGTATTTATTTTGAAACGTTATGAAATGTTATGTTTTTTAAAATCATGTGTTTCCTATGAATGAATGAGTTTCCAATGCGATAATTTTTTTCAAAATTATGTTTTTCATATATGCTATCTTTTAAATGATTCTAATGTAGTAAGCTTTTCTAAACTTATGATTTTGTGAAAATGAATGAACTTTTATTTCTTCAATCAACATAATATTTGTTAATGAAATTGATTAAGTACAAATGTGTGAGATGAACCTAAGGTCATTCTGTGTATCTGATAAGTCTAAGATATCTGTTATGTGTTGACCAAGTGGTCATTATATAGTTGTAATCAAATGGGCCCAAGGTTGTTCCGTCAAGTTATGATCTATTTTGCTCTGTACATCTGTTATATATTGGACTAGAGGTCGTTCTGCTATGTAATGTATCAGAGGTCGTTCTGTCAAGTTTAAATATGTTTAATGCTAATGGGAATTGTCCCATCATTTGATAATCTCTGAAAGGTCTGATAAGTTTCATAATAATATGTCTTTGAACAACGTAATGTGTGTAAATATGAGAGGTTTGATGAACTTTTTTGTTGTATATATTTCTGCAGTATTATTTTTGTCCATGATAAGATTGTTTTGATAAATAAGGAATTCATTCATCAACCCTTTACATTGATGTTAATCATTGGACTTCTAGCTCACCCCTTTTCCCTATATATGTAGGTGAGTATTAGGAGGATCGGCGTTAGAGTTTACTTCGGAGTCAACCTTTTTGTGAGGACCATCCAAAGATGCGCTTCCATTTAGAAGCTTTAACTTTTGCTTTTGGTCAAACTTTGTTAAGCTTTGGATATACCAAGTTTTGTTAAGTCATGTATGTGATCTTGGAATGTATAAGATAAATGTATGTATGTATTACAAGTGTGTTTTGAAAATGTTTTAATTATTTTGGTTCATATCATGTATGCACAGCTCAATGGCCAATGTTATATTTGGTTTGTTTTTGCTTCAGGCCCCATATATTAAATAAATATTTTTTGATTTGGTTAAGAGGCCTTAGGTAATCTATGATTACTGACTAGTCATGATCTAGGCCAATGTTATATTTGGTTTGTTTTTGCTTCAGGCCCCATATATTAAATAAATATTTTCTGATTTGGTTAAGAGGCCTTAGGTAATCTATGATTACTGACTGGTCATGATCCAAATCCTTTAAGGATGGGTTCAGGTCATGACACCTATAGTCATTCTATTGACTCCAACGATGAACTTCTTACTTTCTCATTGTCTTTGGACCACTGAGTCAGTTGCTTGCAGATGCACTAACAAATGTATTTAGCACAGTCGCTAACAAAGGCTCTATATGAAAATTAACTATTTTAGTTGACTTTTAATTTTTTACAAAAATTTGTGCAAAAAAATATAAAAAAATTATGTGACAACTTATAATGATTTTTTTAACTTTTTGACTAAAAACTAAACTTTCCGACTGAAACATATATTATAAATATGACTCATATTCTCTACAGTCTATATGGTGGACTGGACCGTGCTGTTCTGGCTCATGGGGCCCACCATGGTTTCTGTATCGATGATCCGAATCGTTAATGTATAGAGCTTATTGAGTATTTCATTCCTGAAAAAAATTACGTTGATCGACTATTGATAGTTACTTGATCGAATTAGAATTCTGTCAACAATTTATTATGAAAATGATATTTACCGTTGATAAAAATATAATTTGATCAAGTGACTATCGATATCCGATCAACATGATTTTTTGTAGAGATAAAGTACTCAGTGAATTCTACACATTGCACAATTTAGATAGAACTTGTGGTGGCACCTCCACAAGCTCAATAGCACAGTTCAGATAGAACCTGTGGTGGCCCCCCTACAGGCTTAATAACACGTTGCAGTCCGATTTCGAAATAGAGGCTTAATAATGTTGCAGTCCTCAGGTCTCTTTTAGGAAATGTAAAAAAAGTCAGCTTATTGGATTATTTGAATCACATCATCTCTCTACTTTTTACTAAGGGTAGACATATGACGGGCGGGGCCAGTTTCAGACCAGGTCAACACTATATAATAAGGGATTTTGTATCTACCCAAGCTCGGTTCAACCTTAACATTAGGCCTCTACATATGTCCAAACCCGATCCAAAAAATAATTATTATTCCCAAGCCCATCCATCGGGTTATATGTAAATTTTTTTTAAAAACATTCCATAATTAAATTCAATTACACATTATATTTTTTAAATAAATATATTGACATCATTATAAATTGAAAAATTTCTTAAATAAATTCAATCACACATCATTACAATTGTGAGTTTTAATAAAATCAATAAAGGTAAAGTTTATATCTCAATAAAAAATATATATTTTAATGTATTATAATTAATTAATTTAATAGCGAGTTTGGCCGGGCCGCGTTAGGTTAAAAATATAAATTCAAAACCCAACTCATTAATATATCGGACTAAAAATATTGGCCCAACCCGGCCCTATGAGTTAAAATAATAACTTTTCTACATTCCAGAAAAATAGAATTGAGTCGAGCGGACTGGGTGGACCAATCGACGATGTATACTCTTATTTTTTACACATCTTTTCATAATTAAAAAAAAAAATCAATCCTTTTTTTCGGTTCTTCTCAAAACAATCCTTAAGGTCTTGTTTGTGATAACTTAAAAAAGTAAAAAAAGTTAAAAAATCATTATCCTATTTAAATTACATCATGTTATTTAAATCATATCACCTTTCTATCATATCATTTTAAACTCAATTCATACTTTATAAAAAATTTAAAAATATATTTATTTAGATCATTCCAAACAATCCTTTAATATAGATTACATGTTTGCGCACCTGGCCCTTTTGATGCTTGAGTCAACGTAATCACTATTTAAGGCCTCGTTTGGAAACCCTTCCTTTTAGTCAAAAAGTTAAAAAGTTATTAAATTAGCTAAAAAGTCAACAACCCATACCAAAAAGTCAAAGATTCTCTTTTTTCTGTACTTTTTGTACATTTTTTCGTAAAAAGTCAAAAAATTATCTCAAACATATTAATTTTTTTAATTCATATTTTAATCAAATAATAAAAAAATTACTAAATTAATCTGTTCCCAAACGAGGCCTAAGTCTTGCGGTAGTTGGGCAATTCATCGGCGATTTCGTGGGGTGGGTGTTGGAGAGGCATTACTGTGTGGGACCGGTCCAACTGTCTCACAACTTGTGCTTTCCATTTCCCGAAACCAGCCTCTTCTTTGCCAATCCCGTGAATTTCTTTCCGATAATAACCTTGCTCCTTTTGGAATATATTCCCCCACCCCTCTCCAAACATTATTTTAGTAAAGAAATATATTTTATCTTACACTAACATAATGAAAGTGTTATAAAATTTTTAAAAATTATATATATTATATTAATAATTAATAAGATAATTTAAAATTAAAATATTTCGGATCTCAAAAATTTCAATAGTTTATATTTTCAAAATTATAAAAATTCACACCCCCACACTATTTACATTATAAAATTTTAAAAATAATTTACAAATCAAATTTTATCAAATATTGATATATTATATTTTCTATTTTTGGTATTCCTATTTTGTTATATTTGTTTACTTCTTTTTATTTGATACTATTTTTACTTTTTGTTTACATGTTATTTGTGTGTTTTTTTTTTTCCTTTCTATAAATCATACTTTAATTTACTTATGTACCTTAGTTTGCATTCACTTCTATTCGTTCATTCTTTAAAAATAGAAATATTTTACAGAAATGAAAATATTGTCTATATTCAACATATCATTCTTTTAAAAATGAGTTCATAAAATTTAAGACGGTTTATTCAAATGAATTATCATGTTACTCCTAAAAATATACATATTCAACTATGAAAATTTTCAAAACTAAACTCCATAATAGGATGTAAGATGATTTTGTAATAAATTATTTGAGTACATATATTGAGAAAGATATTACTTAAGATTTTGATATTGATTCTGTCATAGATGTTTTTGTATATACTATAAAAAGTGATGGCTATATGTCTGATTATATTTTTATTCTCAAATGTGGTGAGAAAGAATGTTCGATTAATAGTAATATTATTCAATTTATTTTTATTTTTATTTTTTGGGTGTTGGTATAAATCAAAATTTAAAATTTTTATAATAATTTTTTTTTGATAAAAATTTACTTATGTTTTTATCCCCTCAAAATTTTGAATCCTTGATTTGTCCCTGTTCAATTGACAACAACTTTTAAATTGAATTTCAAGTTTGGTTTAATTTTACTTTTATTCTCTAAATTATTTCTTATTTTAATTTTATTCATATAATTAGTTTTTAAAATTTTTGATTAAATTCACATGATCTTATTTGAGACAATCTATCCAAATCAATGACTAACTTAATATAGAAAAAAAAACAATTTTACAAATTAAACTACCTAAATCAATAACCAAACACTAACCATTGCCAGCTACATCCCATTGGTGGCAATCAAATTCGACAACTAACAACTACTTTTAATTATTACCTCTAATTGGTCACCTTCTTGTTTTCAAAATGAAAAATGAGACAAAAATTTATATTTTATACTTACTTTTTAAATTCAGCGATAAGTCAAGAAAATAATTAATTGATAATTAGAGAATATTTAATTATCAATCCATTATCTTATTGACACATCACTAAATTTAGAAAGTAAATCTAACCTTTAGACCTGAATAACAATGTTCAACAATTTTTAAAAATAAAAATAAAAAACAATACGTAGCCACAACTTAATGAAGTTAATCAACTTCATGTATTGAAAATGAGGGGCAAATTAGTCAAATTGCCAAAGACCAAAAAAAACAAAAAAAAAAAAAAAAAAACAGAAAAATCCCCAGGTAGGTTGCTGTTCTCTCTACTCAGAGCAAGTCGCTTTCTCTTTTACTGTCTTTGGCTTTGCAGTTACTAGTCAGTGGTCAGTCCGTCCTCTCTCAGTCGTGTGTTTTTAGAGCAAAAAATGCTTTCTTCAGAGTCCCCTTATTCTTTCCTCCTTCTCTCCTTCAAACCCCCTTAAAACTCCTCAATTTCCTCCTCAAAATTACTCTGTAATTCGGCATTATATTCCTCTCTCTCTCTCTCTCTCTCTCTCTCTCTCTCAACTTTCTCTAAATTTAGCTCAACTTCCTTCATTGATTCTGCTATTTTTTTTTCCATAGATTTGATCATTCCACCATGAATCTCGTGACAAAATCTTTCTGGGTTTTGCTATCCTCTGTTCTTCATTTCTACACACTCTGTTTTTCGTACCCAACTCCATTGAACTGTACAGACACAACTCGTCTATGCACATCGTTCTTGGCCTTCAAACCAAATTCAAACGAAACCCTTTCGGTGATTCAGAGCATGTTCGATGTGTTACCCGAAGACGTAACAGTCGAAGGCAATGGCAGAGACTACGTGTTCATCCGAAAGAACTGTTCTTGTGCTTCGACTACCTACAAATACTTGACTAACACTACATACACTGTGAGGGAAAATGGTGGATCTGTACACGAAATGGTGATTGAGGCCTATGATGGGTTGGCCTTGTTGCCCAATTTCAGTCGCGCCGCTCGAGCAGGTGCCGTGGTGTCGTTGGAGTTGTTTTGTGGGTGTTCGAGTGGGTTGTGGAATTACTTGATGAGTTATGTGATGACTGATGGGGATAGTATTCAATCATTGGCGAGTAGGTTTGGGGTTAGTATGGATAGTATCGAAACTGTCAATGGGATTGACAATCCTGATAATGCTACTGTTGGTGCACTGTACTATATACCTCTAAATTCAGGTATGGTGCTCTTGTCTTGTTATATATTTTTTTTCAATACTATATACCTTGGTGTTTGATTTGATTTGTTAGTTGATTTATGTTTGATTTTACAACTATCAAGTGGAGTTTTGACTTTTGGGTTCAGAGTTGGTGAAGCTGTTAATTGAGTGTAACAAAGGCATGTAATTGGGTGCTTTTGGATCAGGATTTGTTTTTGTTGGAGCTTAATTAAGAAAATGATAGATTGACAATTTGTCAAGAAAATTACAGTAAATGGGTTAAATGGAGAAGTGTGGTTGAAATTTAATTGTTGTATTGTGGGTTTGTGTACAGAATGAATCTGAACCGTCACGCATAGATGTTTCTGGGTAAAAATTATGGGTATGTAGTGTTATTGTAGTGATCTGATTATACCAATCTTTTCAATTAGGGAGTACTTTATAGTTCGAATGAACAGAATCAGGCAGTTTATTATGCCCATAGTTGCTTAACATGCATAGGATGGACCAAGATTTGCTAGAACTGGTATTATTATGAGGTAGTGTGAGGCTTCAATACCAAGTCAAGGCTGGTCTGATGGTTGGATTAGTTTATCCCAAAAAATGGTAACTCTTTTGTAATTTAATGAAAATGGCATGACATACTGGAAGAATTTGGGGGAAAGCTTGAAATTTTGACCAACTGTAGAAGTCAAGTGAATTTAGTGAATGTCAATGAACTAATTCTGTAGAAGTCAACGGTTGAATCAAGTAGAAAAGAACTAATGTAACATATCTTGGGTGTTCACTGTTCACATTTCTTTAAAGATCCTAATTGGAATTTTAAGTTTGCTAGTGATTTGTCATTCTTTCAATGCGCGTGATTCTGCTAGGATTCTGGATGCTAACATAGAGCAAATGGGCACTTCATTTGTTAATTTCACAAGCTAATATAGCTACACATTTCAAGAAAATCAAGCATGATTGACCAAAACAAGATCGGTATCTGATATAAACAATTTTTTGTCATGATTTGAAAACATTCTAGAGCAAGAAGTCTACAAACATGGAGAAAATTTAACACATTTAAAAAATGCTGAAGCACACATTAATGACCTGAATTGAATTTAAAAAAGGATTTGCTATCATGTGAATGGTTCACAAAGATGGATAAAGAATATTAGATTGTTAGTGCTACAATTACAATTAGTAAAGAGAATGTGCTTGAATGTTGAAGATATGATTACTTCTTGATTTATACAGTTTGTGGCTTGTTAAAGTCTTACAAGGAAATATCCCATCCACTTGATCGGATGAAAATTAGTTTCAATTAAATGTTGTCTTATGGATATTACCTTGTTAGTATTATTTGGATATGTACATTGGGCTTCAATTTTATGTTTGTTCCTATAAATACATTTTGTGGTGTTATGTATATAACAACCTTCATAATCCAAGATCATGTATTATCATGATTTTCACATAAATAACTTTACATACCTGAATCCATTACGGTGGAAAAATTTTAGAGATTCAGTAGATGATAAAAATCAACCCTAACCTTTAGGTTTATGGAGAAATGGTTTCTTTCTTTTAACTCTCTCTAGCATAACATGTATTTGAAATAATTTGATGGATAATCTGAATGTCCTTTTATAGGCAGAGAGAGAACTAGTCTCCTTATTCAACAATAATTCCACTTGCCCATCAAATGAGGATACTTGAAAACCATTCTTCTTATTGACCAATTAGATAAAATGTTGTAGCAAAAGATATGGAACCATAATCTTGTTAAATCTTTAATTCATATTGCAATATCATGTGGGTCACCATAATGACTAAAGTTAACATTAGGCGCGCAATAAATCATATCCAATCTTATATTTAATTTGGTCATCATCATAATACTATAATCAAATAGTTCACTAATGCGAGTCATGGTAGTTCTACACCAGTAGTGCGACATATAGTCCCTTCCATCTACCATAACACTAGCAACTAGTTTAACATAGCCCTTCAAGTGAAGAGTGTATTTAAACGAGATACAACAATAATGTCTTTTTATGAAAGAATATTCTTGTTATCATTCATTCAATTCTCATACATGTACATACTCATTTCATGACAAGAAGTATATCAGAAACACATTAATGATATCAAAATGTCAAATAATTAAAATAACTAATTATGAGGCAATCCATTACATAAAAGAAATGCTATTATGGGTTACGTTCAAGACCCATTCTATTGGCATGTTCCCTAAAGATCTTTGGTGGCAACCCCTTTGTCAATGGATTTGCAACCATAAGTTGTGTGCTTATGTGTTCTATTGACGCACTTTGTTTTTGAACTTCTTCTTTAGCAGTAAGGTATTTCAATTCCGTGTGTTTAGCACCCTTAGAATACTTTGTTGTTTTTAGAGAAAAACATAGCCGTAGAGTATTCACAATGAATTCTCAGAGGCTTAGCAATAGGGCCAACAACCCTAAGTCTTGAGATAAAGTTCCGCAACCACAATCCATGAACTATGGCCTCAAAGCATGCCACAAATTCCGCTTTGATAGTGGATGAAGCTATGATAGTCTGTTTTGCACTTTTCCATGTTATTGCTCCTCCAGCTAACATGAACAAATATCCAAAAGAGGATTTTCTACTATCAACACATCCAGTGAAATCTGAATCAGAGTAGCCAATCACCTCTAGATTGTCAGACCTCCTAAATGTGAGCATGTAATCGTTTGTTCCTTGTAAGTATCTCATCACCCTTTTTGCAGCTTTCTAATGATCCATACTAGGATTGCTTTGGTATCTTCCCAACATACCAATTGCAAAACTGATATCTGGTCTAGTACAAGTTTGTGTATACATTAAGTTTCCTACTGCGGATGCATAAGGAATCCTTTCCATCTGTTTACATTCCTATGCATTCTGTGGGCATTGCATAAGACTGAACTTATCGCCTTTTTGAATAGGGGCATCAGTAGGTGAACACTTTGGCATATCAAATTTCTCTAAAACTCTTTCAATATATGCTTTTTGAGAACCCTAACAATCCAAGTGATCTATCTCGGAATATTTCAATTCCTATCACATAAGTTGTCTCACCCATATCCTTCATTTCGAAGTTCTCAGAGAGAAGTTTTTTGGTCTCAAGCAATAAACCAAGATCACTATTAGAAGTTTCTTGGTCTCAAGCAATAAACAAAGATCACTATTGGCAAGCAAAATATTGTCAACATATAAAATAAAAAATATAAACTTACTCCTACTAATGTTTAGATATATACACCGATCAATAGTGTTTTCTTTATATCCAAAGGAAGTAATAGTATTATTAAACTTAAGATGCCATTGTCTAGAAGCTTGTTTAAGTCCATATATTGACTTCTTTAGTTTGCAAGCCAAGTGTTCTTTCCTTTTGATGGAAAAACCTTAAGGTTGATCCATATAGACTTCTTCCTCTAAACTCCCATTTAGAAAAGTAGTTTTCAAATCCATTTGATGCAACTACAAATCATAATGAGCTACTAATGCCATGATAATTCTCAACGAATCCTTCTTGGATACCGGGGAGAAGGTCTCTTTGTAGTCAATGCTGTCTTTCTGAGTAAAACCTTTGGCCACAAGTCTGGCTTTATATTGTTCTATATAGGGGTGTAAATTTGGCCCGGCCTACCCGGGCTCGAGCCGGCCCATGTCGGGCCTCACGGGCTCTGGCCAAAATTTAGGCCGGCCCACGGGCCAGAAAATTAGACCCAGACCCAGACCCAGGCCTAGGGGGTATTTGGGCCTTGGGCAGGCTGGTGGGTCTGGCTTGGGTGGGCCTGAATAAAATTTATTTATTTATTTTTTAATTTTTTTTACCAAAATTTTATTATTTTTCACTTAAAAAACATTGGGTCTCTGGCGGGCCGGGCCTTGAGAGGGCCTTCAGCGGGCTGATGGGCCGGACTTCAAAATAATGGCCCAAGCCTTAGCCCAGGGTCTTGGACTGGGCTCAAGCTTGGGCCTAAACAGCCTGGGCCTACCCCGGGCCGCTGGTGGGCTTCGGGCCGCGGACCATTTTTACACTCCTAGTTCTATATTGCCCTTGGAGTCAAGTTTGGTCTTAAAGACCCATTTGCAACTTCTTGCATCCTTTGGGCAATTCAACGAGATCCCAAACTTTATTATGGTCCATTGATTTTAACTCATCATTCATGGCATCAATCCACTTAGTAGAATTGACATTTTCCATGGCTTGTGGAAAAGAAACCGGATCTTTACTTGTCCCTATATTAAAATCAGATTCTTGTAGATAAACCACATAATCATTTGAAATAGCAGATCTCCTTTCTCTATGAAACGTTCTTAATGGAAATAGCAGTCTTCTACTATTTGTTCATTGGTGTCATATTCGAGTGGTTGATTCATTTGTTGTTCCATGTCATTAGGTTGTTCAACAACTGTAGGAGCAACAATTTCTTTCGAAGTTATGGGTAATGAGACTTATACCCTAACTTCTTGAATAGCCACAATTCGTGGGTTATCATTCTCACTGATTCCACCATCTTTAATGAATTTGGTATTCGGTTTTGAGAGGAGATTTGTGCCGAACAACGGGCTGAGCTAAACCAATGCAGAATGTGGTGTTGGGTCGAGTCAAACCAACACGGAACGCGGTGTTGGGTTGAGCCAAACCAGCACGAAATGTGGTGTTGGGCCGAGTTAACCAACATGGACATGGCATTGAGCCGAGCTAGACCTTTGTGGTCTTAGGCATCACGCTAAAGAGAGCCATGTCTGGGGTGAGACAATGGGCTGAACTAGACGTGGCATAGATACGAGGACTGAGCAAGATGTGCAAGGGGCCGCAGTCTATAGCTAAGATGACGACCGACATGCTGAGACTAATTGGTTTAAGAATGCAGCACTGTTGCGGCATTGATCGAGCATGAAGCCGACTTGGGAGTCAACGTGATTTAGCTCAGCACGAAGACATCCTAAGCTAGCATTCTGTTGGTGTTGCAAGTGATCGTTCGGTTGAGGCATTCCACGTGG